TCTTAGACTGAATAAAACTCCGAGTTTAAACAGCTGAAGCAACGAGGTAAGTGCTTTCTCTTGCAGATTGAACCAGAACGAGGTGTGAGGGAAGTTTACAGGGAGAACATGCTCAGATATTTGGGGTGATTACCGGTTGAGCTGAGGACGAGCATAGCACAGCACTCTCACGAGCAGGGATAACGCCATCCAAAGTGAGGTTTCCCTCCGTTTTTAACATATTGTTGGCACAGTTATCTAAACTATGCAAGGGTACAGGGGGCGCTTGCTTGTGTGGGTTGTTATGAACACTTGTTGTTAAGTCGTGGATTCATTCGTAAAAGAACATTCAACTAAAGCTCCTAATTGACTGTTTCATTTTTGCGGCACATAAGACATTCAAGGCGACTTTATTGAGGTTCCTCGCAGGACATCTCATCTCCGGGTCACACCAAGAGAGTAGCACAGTATTGTAAACGGGATGTTTATTTGTTGGTTTTCTGTGTGAATGCATGTTGACAACGGAGGGGATTTTGCAGACACATTGAAGACAGCGGGCTGCGGTATTGCGTGGGAGTATTCACGTGTTGGGGATCCTCTGCTTTAGGCTGCCTAGTAACAACTCAAAGAGAGACAGAGAAGGGGAAACTTTTGGGAAATATTCCTAATATCTGTTAGATTTGACAATTTGGCAACACTGGTTTATTTTAGGTCGTGCAAATAAACCACTTGTAAGTATTTAGATAAAGAGAGGGAGAGAAAGAGACAATCGATACTTTTTTATTTGTAGTAGACGAAGCTCAACTTATAGGTAAGTTTATTTTAGTTTTACACTTGTCAGACAACTTTTGTCAGTGCGCACATGTTGCAGCAAACTCGGAAAAACATGATGTCTTTTTATTTTACATTGCAGCATTTGCTAATCCTGCATGTTCTCTAACGCTGAACATGAATTAAAGAAGTTACATTTAGACTGACTGAGCGAGTTGTGAACATGTCACTGCTGCATTGTGTAGTAGAAGAGAGGCTGGACACGACTGAGCTTTTCAACACCGTGGACAGCACCGTTAGCTTTTCAGTGCAGATTGTAGGAGCAAACACATATCCCCACTGGAGTTCAAGTTGATTTTGTGGCAATGAAAGGTGCTTTTGTGCTCCAAGAGACATGCATCTAAATCAATTTTACCTTTGACAAAGTTGCAAAATAGGTGTTTCCCAGTTGCACTCTGATATATCCTGAAAAAGAATGTCTGAACAATATAAACCACCCTATAGTGTAGGAAGTCTTACTCTTTATGGGGTGTAGATGTCTATGTTAAGCTTTCTTTTACTGTGTCAGGTGATGTTTCATTGTTGATTTAAAGAGGAGAAAGTTGTATTAAAATAGATGTGACACTGAAAGCTGAGTCGTGTTCCGTCCCTTATCGCTGTGAGATGAACAAAGGCTTCACAAAGACAGAAAAGTCTGCAGCGGATTGCAACTTGCAAGAGTCAGTAGAACATCGTTTTTAAGGGTGTAGTGTGCTGGTGTTGAATAAGGTGGATCTCTGGTGGAGTTTGTCGACACACCGCGGTGATCTTGGCTCACTGCACCGAGGGACCTCGGCTGCAACTACCATTGATACCGCTCCCTCTTTGATTAAATGATTGTGGACCACAGGGAATTGTATGTGTGTGTATGTCGTGTGTGTAGGATACTGGGGCTGCTGTGTATTGGGTAGATAGGAGACTCTACTATTGACTCGTGCTTGGGCTGAATATTATGAATAAAAAATGAGCCAGACATCAGATGCCAGAAATATCCAAATAACAACAATATATATTTTTTGTTTTTATTCATGTGATAATGCAGGGTTTCTTCGTGTAGAGGAGAGGGCTAAACCCGCGGTGTGTGTCTGTCCCTATACATGCACTCGCCAGCAGTCACGGACATACAGTTGGCCTACAGGCAGGGATAAAAATAGCACAAACCGATGCGACGGGCGCAGCCCTTTTCCCTTCTCAGAGCCGACTTTTAGGTAGCTGCCACTCATTGGAGACTCTAGATATCCACCCCATCCCATCCCGTTAAGTCTCACGAGTGCAGATGGACGGCGTGGGGTGTGTGGAGAGGGTCTTACAGTAAATGTGTTACATTAGTGAGAGACGGAGTATAGTGTGGAGGGAGGTTTGTTTGTGCGCCGGTGCATGGATAAGTGTGCTTCTCCCCGTGGGTCTATTCCGTGGGTGCGCGGGGTCTGGTGCGTGGGCACGGACACTGAATAAAGGAGATGGAGGCTCGCTGTTTTCCTTCGGTTTCAGTGATTTGCCCGCCAAATGCACTGGGATAAAAATGATCCAAGACCAAAACAGCACCAACGCTTGGTGGGGGATATTTAGAGACAAGGGAGGGAGAGAGAGAGAGAGGGAGGAGGGGAGGGGGGGCTGGATGGAAACCCAGATGCTCCAGCAATAGAGGAGGGTTTTCATGAGATAACCTTCTCCTAAACTGCTGTTTCCACGTATCCAAACCACATTATCCACCTGTAATATTTTTCTATTTTGTCACTCTTTTTTTCCACGGCAGAGCAGCAGCGTCTTTAATCAGACTATACGGGCTGTAAAGTGAGAGAATCTAAACGTGACGTCAATGCCTAGTGACTGACGCAGCCCTTCAACGAAGAAAAAAAAAACTGGCTTTTTTATTTATTATTTTTTTCTTCTTCTCGTCAGCAAAGCTTAATTACTAAATGTTACAGTGCTTCGTCGAAAATAAATAATAAATTCCACAGGCAGCGTCGCGTAATCTGCGTACATCAGAATATGGAGCTATTTGTGCGTTCATGAGTTTGAGCTGCTGAAGTGACACTGGGACGAGAAGCTGCTGAAGAGGGCGACAAGACATCAGATATTGTATTGCATGATATTGGCAGCGACGACGACTTGCAGATTGTATTTGTGGGGGGTGAAAGTGTGTTTTAGGGATGCGAGTGAGCTGCTGGTGCTGGTGGAAGCACATTGGGTTCCAGAAAGAAAAAAAATCACTGCAATGATGCAACGTAGGGGAATTGGGGCTCTTGTGCAGAGTTGGAGATGCAAACAATAATTTCCATTACATGCACTTCACGTTCCTAAGCGATACCTTTTGTGAGTGTGTTTTTTTGTTTTTTTCTCTCCTTCGTATGTGAGACCTAAAAATAGCATCATAGTTTTGATCGTGCGCCAGAAATAGACAGACGGGTATCACTTGTATTAAAAGGGAGGCGATCCTGAGCAAACTTGGACGTGCCACTGTAAGCCTACATAAAAACAAATGGAGGACTTAATCTGTTGCATTTCTTCCAGACTCCTGTTGATGCTTTTCACTAAAATGTCTCTCTGTGTTTCTCTTTCTCACAGATTAGATTAAGGACGAGCCTGCACCACGGTGAGTGAGACACATGTTTCATTCTGTGTACTTTTGTGTATTTAGTGCATGCTCCGGAGTGCCTGTGCTGTTTCCTTTCTCACAATGTCTCTCCTCTTCTTCTATCCCATGCACGCAAACACACTTGATGGATTTAATTGGCATGCTTTACGAGCCACTGTTAGAGCAGAAGCATAGAGCAACCCTTTCCTGCAGAGTAGGAATCACCCTTTTTGGTAAATAAGCAAGTGCAAAAACCCCCTTTGTCTGTTGGCGCTGTTGAGTCTCTATCACATATTTATGTTTTCCCTCCCATCTTAACCGCGCGAGAGCGAGGGGAACCCTTCTCTGATGAGCGCTTGAGGACGCCTTTCCTTTCAGAATGCTTGTTTTTTAAGAGGAGTCACACTGACAGGGAAACATCGGTGGAGGAGAAAGAGAGGAGGTGAAGGATCTGTTGCTGCAGCGGAGATACCGCATGGGGAAACCCGGGAGCTGTCGAGCAGCAATGGAGATGAAACCACACCAAGTGGCGGTAGTGGGCTGTTGCTGGTGGTGTTTGTCTATGTGTGTGTTTTCTATGCATGTGTGTGTGTTGTGCCTGGCAGCCAGTAGCTTTATTTACTGGAGGAGAAATCCTGAAGCAACCTGCCTCTTTTACACTGCCTGCGCTAACTGAGGGAAGACATTGGGCTTGAAAAGATGATATATAACATAGATTTTCCCGCCTGTGTATTTTTGAACTGCTTCAGACAGAGAGACGGACCGACCTGGATCAGCTCTTCTTTCATCAGTACTGTCATTTTCTCCCAACTCGTTACCAATCCAGCCTCTTGAAGTGGAGCAACTCGCGTTCAAATGAACAGAAGATCTGTAGTGCCAAAGTTGGCATTGCGCGTACGAAGTAATTGAGAAAGTAGCCAAATAGTTGAGATATGATGTGTTTGAGTTCAGCAGGACGCTACTAACTACTATTATGTGTCTCGAGACAATAACTTTGCCTCCTAGCGACGAGGAAAGCGCGCGTAAAAGGCGAAGGGAGCTATTAGCGATGAAGTTTGAAGGAATCACCCTTTCAATAAGGTATCAGTGTTTATTTAGCGATCCGGACCAGGCTGCACGAAACCGAGTTCATCCCCAACCCAATTCTGTGCACTAATTTGGACAATTTCCCGCAAGTTACAGTGCCACATAGAAAAATCCCAAATCGACCACCTGTCATGCAAAATCCCGATTCTAGTTACATTCCTCCACCTCCCCTAAAAGAAACACCAACAAAAACACCAACTCTGTAATTCGTCGTCGGTCAAAACGCGCAAATACCGACTCGAGGAGCCAGATCTTGCTCAATAATTCAACAGCGAGCGTGTAATTTCGGTGGAAACAACACGGATTCCCGAGTCGTGACTGCTAAAGTGAGTAATGTGCGCGTTGGCTGCGTCAGGAGAGGCAGTCACTGTGCAGTGCAGACGGTGGGGGAGAATCGTGACTGACTGGGTTGCGAATGAAAAGACCACCCAATACAAAAAATACCCACACCAGGAGAGATTAAAAAAACATTTCCCCTAACCCCCCCTCCCTTTTCCTCAATCCCAAATATCTCCTTTCTCCCCAAACGCTTGTTTTTAGTGTGAGCCCTGCTGCTTGATGCTGGCCGCCAATTTGAATGCAGGCGAGTTTCATCAGTGATAGTGGGGCGGTGTGGATGGGTGGAGAGAGAGGAAGAAGAGGAGGGAGGGAGAAGAAGAGGGGCTTATGTTTGGGATTGGATCTAAATATGGGGGGAGTGAAGAGAGGGGCCCGGATCCAGATCGTGACCCGGCCTCCCCATCGGTACAGTGGAGGGGAACGTTTTTATAATGATAAGATATTACAAACTAATGGAAGTGTTGCAGGGAATAAAACAACAGGTAAGTTACTCTATTTGATAACTGAGCAAAACCATCATATTAAACATTGTGTGAGAATGAGTGCTTTTACGGTCGTGCTTAACTCTTTAACTCCTGACGTGATGCTCAGCTTTATGTTGTTGTTTTGTTAAGTTGTTTATTGTTGCTGTATATGCTTTAAGATGTTGAACGGTTATCGCAGTTGTGATATAGGTAAGATTATCCTTGGTTTCAACCTTTGAATCTTTGCAAATGACTGAAGCATCGCGGTGTACTGAACTTGCAGTTCGGAAACCCCCCGCGTGTTTTTCGCAGTGGTTCCCTCCGGTGAACTCTATAGGTGACCACGAGTCGCCTCAGATGCTTCTTGCTGATGTTTTGATGCGACGTGGAGAGCTTTTCACACTTCGTCGACATGTAACTGTTATTTCTTCTAATTATGTATTTGATTGCTGTCTTTGCATTACCCATCATTTGCGAAATGGGAACGAGAGGGAGTTTTATTTTCTTATCAGGGGGAAAATGGATCATTCTTTTTTGTAAAATCTCGTTTATTATTACACATCGAGATTATTAATCATGACATAACACATTTAATACAACGTTTAGTTTCGTGGACACCCTATCAAAACCAAAACATGCATTCACCAATTATCCGCATTAAATGATCATATCCATAATACACTGGTATAGATCACAATTTGGTTAACCCTGTCGACTTCATTTTTTTTCAAAAAGGGGGGTCCCTATATAAGCGACACACCGATTGGTTGATGACGAGGTTTGGTTTCTCCAATGAGATCCCTCCCTGCTCTCTATTTATTGCCAGCAGTTTGCAGCCTTGCTCTCTCCTCACCCAGAGCTTTGGAGCAGAGAGTCAGCGCGGCACGGAGACACACACCGCGGACCAGGGACTATAACACACACTCAGAGAGAAAGAAAGACAGGGTGCACACTGACAACAAAACGCATCGATGCACAGCTCCCGATCATCACACGGGATTTGCACATCCGAGCGTTTGGATAAAAAAAATTACAGGGGGAGGAAAATATGAGGGAAGGAGGCATGGGGAGAGAAGGGAGATAGAGATTCAAACTGGAGAAGGAGTGGGAATCAAAGCGTAAGGACCTTGGACAGCTCTCAGTTGCAGCCTTGGCATCCGGAGACCCCCTTTTTCTCTCTTTCTCTCATCCTTTATATCCCCTCCGTGTGTGTGTGTGTGTGTGTGTGTGTGTTGGTGTGTGTTAGTGTGTGTGTGTGTTGGAGGGACACACTCTGCTCGGGTTGCCGATGGCTGGAGATACAATCAACCGAGCCAGGATGGGAGATACATCCACGGAAGCGAAAGCAGAGCTTCTCCCCGGGAGTCGCGGAGTCTCCGTTGGACGGCAGCAGCAGATAATGTCCTTCACGAATCTTTTTGCGGTCTGGGCTTGCTGTTCATAACTATTAATCTGGGAAGCCCTTACCCCAAAAAGCATTTGCGGAGGGCGCATTCACCGCGCCGAGACATCGACATCGGGAACACGGCTCCACTCGTGGAATTTTACAATCTTTCTTTTTTTAAGAGCTGCTTTCCCTTTTTTCTACCCGATTTTTCTTTTTGCTTTACTATTGTCCTTATTTGCTCTTGTATTTCTCGTCATTGCCATAGCAGTGGCGCTTTTGTCATGGGTGATTTTCAGCCCAATACGTTTGGCTTTTTTTTTTTTCGAGTCAACAGTTTTCTTCTTTGTTAGAAATTGTGGCGAAGCTCTGCAGCCACGTCGCACCCACGTTTAATCAAACACTTGCGTGCATCCTCCCTCACCAAAAATAATAATGTCAAAAACAACCTAAAACTTTGAGCCATGCAAGATTAAGTCTCTTCATCCAAACCCAACCCCCTCCCCCTGTCCCACAATGAACAGGTGACAATGGCCCCCAGCAGAGCAGAGTGTACACATGGGGAGACCCCTTCAATGAACAAGTTGCACGTGGGAAAAACAGTGGTAGATATTGTGTGTGTTTGGGTATCTGTGTCTTTTGGAGGGTGGGGTTCCACTTTCCTTGGACGTCATCCTACCCCCAGCCCACCCTTAAAATAATAATGTTGCAAACACACACACACACACACACACACACACACACACACACACACACACACACACACACACACACACCACACTCACACACACACACACACCTGTAAGCAAGTGCACATGCAAGGGATTCCCCAACAAGGACATCCTAACTTAGGGAGAAGCCCAGTTTGGCAGATGGAGAGAAATAAGGAACATCTGCAATCCCCCCCCTCTTTCTTTCCTTTAACACACACAAACACACACACGCACACACACCACACACACACACACAAGTGTCCCCATCCCAGTTTATGAATGGGTAACCACTATAAGCATCCCCTCGCCCACCACTTTTCCCGGCGATCTGCCTCCACAAATGTCCCACAGAGACCCGGACGCTCGTCCTGTCAGTCTGACCCAGTAGATTAAAAATAACGACTCTTAATGCAGTCATCAGCTTTACGACTCCACCAATACACTCACATGTTCTTCAGCACATCCAAACTCCCGGCCCCCTATCTGTCTATGTGTGCATTATGAGTGGTGTGAGCACACAAAGTGATCAAACCAAGTAAGATAAAAGCCAGAAATTATCATTCTTTATGTGAGAAGACAGAGTAAAAACAATAAAACAAGGTGCAATCCAGTGTAGCCTCGAGAAGAAAAGCAGGTGCAACTTTATGTCCAGTTTTGAATCTGCTGTCCCATCACCGTTAAAGGGCCCGTCCGGGTGTATAATCATGAATCATTCCTAAATATGTGTGCATTATAAGGCCGGATAGCAGTCTGAAGTTGGAGGAAGTGTAGACGTACTCATAAGACATTATGAAAAATAAGGCCCATTTGACGCAGAGAGACCTGCGAGTTACAGACCTGGAGCTTGGCAAGAAAATGTTTTGTCAGGGTAGAAAAGTGCACGTGACGTCAGAGAGCAGATAGTGACGTAAATGAAATTAAAATGATACTGTTCGGATGGGCTGGTCTCTACGTCATGGCGACGACGTCAAGTAACCAGAATAAGAAGCTATGTCTTCAAGTTTAACATGATGTCGTTAAGCGAGCAGATTGAACACACCTCGCTCAAAATAATCCTAGCAGGGGTCTCTAAAATGTCCATATGGGACCCAACCCATGAGCAAAGCACAGATGAGATAATGTGCAGAATATGAACACCACCTACATGCAGGTTGCCTACATGTAAGACACGTGTCGTAACAAAACTCAAAGCATGGAAACAGATGACGTGGTTCTCTATAAAAGGAAACAGCGTGACCTGTGGAGTCCCCCTTCCTCTCTGTGTGTGTGTGTTTTACATAATGACACAGGTGACAGTTTTGTGCAGAATACTGGTGTGTGTGTGTGTGTTACTGAAGGTGAACCATACATCTCTTAAGGGTGACGTAATTGCTGCCTTTTCCTGAATGGCTTTGTAAGAACCTGGTGACACTTTTCTGACTTCTTCTATGTTTTTGGCTGTGTGGTGGAGTCTGATATCCATATCAAATATATGTTAAAGTCCCCCCACCTCTATCTAAACCCCCATCTACGTCACATCTCCGTCCTAAATGTGTAGGCCTGCACGCTTGGCCGTAGATGAACTTTACGGTTAAACCTCACCGTGCTTGTCTTGTGTTTCTGTGTTGCAGAAGAAATCAATGACAGTAAAAACAAAAGCAGTGATGGAGACGAGGTGCCGAGTGGACCCTGCTGTGCGCCGGGGGAAGGGAGACCCGCGTTTTGGATGTATTCACAGAGAGAGAAAGACAGAGAAACTACGAGAGACCGACCCTCCTCCTCCTCCTCCTCCTCCCCTCTTCCTCACCCTGAGAAAGGTAATGCACGGCCTGAGATGTGTGAGAGGATGGGTCTGACGTCAAACCCAAATCACCCTTTAAATTGCATTTTGCGTGAGGCTGCTCGGAGCTGGAGAGCAGGAGTTGTGTCTCTGCGCACACTTCTGCTGCTGAATATTCTCTCTCTTCTTTCTTCTTCTTATTTCCAGTCATTGTGAAACCTTTGCATTATAATTACTAATAAGTGTTTTATGTGCAAATAGTCAAACGTGCATTATGATGGTTTGAGACGAGTGTATATTGTCAAAAACAATGCGTAAAAGTAGTAGCGTTTCAATTGTAAAAGCCTTGTATAATATATCTATAGGAGGGTCTTGGATTGTGTATTACTAATTAAAAATTCTTCTCAGTATTTCACGTGTATAATATTTCCTAGTCAGGATTTCAATATTTGTTCTGATATATGAGACCTCGGTGACATTTCCTGCGTTTTGTCATCCGGGATTTTGCATCATGTGTCCCTGTGGTTCAATGTAAAAAAAAAAAAATCTTTCACGGATCATATAACATATTTAAATGTTATTATATGTATTGATAATGTGGAGGAAACTTGTACACTTGCCAATCAATCGAATATTGGTCCACTGTGATTTAACTTGTGTTGTGTTGGATCACCGAAGTGTTTAGTGTCAGTCAGTGTTGGATGTAGAACTACGTGATGTGCATCGATATCAACGGAATATTAATGATGAATGATATTTGATGAGATATAAGCGTGCATGTAGGCTATGACTGACTGTAATATGGACTGTGGCTGCTTGTTTTTGGCGCCATGAGCTTTAAAGTCTTATCCCAAATTCTTGCTATGCCCCCCCTTCAGTGTAAGCCATCATATCGTCGACAGCTCAGGAAACACCTCGACGTAACCTCACATGTATTTGCATTTAAAATAAACCATGTGAGCAGAGGGGACACACGCTGTGACCCTATAGTGCAGCAGGACAAACATGCATTTATACAAAACATTTTACACACCTCTTTCTACACAATATGTTTTGTAATGGACTAATTATAATTTCCCACATATCTAAGACTGTTATAGAAAATGTACTGGCATGTAAGAAAATGTCGATGCTTAAACATTATGTTGGCTGCGGTCAATGGGCTCGTCCTGACCTGCTATCTTTGGACACTTTGAGACATTTCATGGCAGCTATTTTGCTTATGTTACATTTGAAAGTGCATTCAAATGCGCCTATACACCCAAGGTTATAATTAAGAAGTGGTTATAACAGTAGATTGGACACAAAATAGATGCAATACATTTTTAGATAGGTGTGTGTGTCTGCATGAAAATACAAATCTCACAGAAAAATATTATTTGTGGATGTTTTGGCATATTTAACGTAGCATAGCATTACATAATATAGATTTGCAATATGAATACATACACTGCTGTAAGTATACAATTGCATTTCTGTAAGTTTTGGTAGTTTCTGTGTGTTCAGTAAATTATGTAAGCATGGGTAAATCATTTTAGGGTTAGGATAGTCAGTTACCATTAGAAATATTTTCTCACGTACCTCTACTGCAGATATTTAGTTTTTATTTGTCCATATTTTTAGAAGTTCGTATCCGACCCAAAACAAAGGAGGTGAATGGAGTTTTTTTTTCTTGTGCTCGCAGCATTGAAAAGTACAAATTACAGCGTCCTCACTTATCAGGATAATTCACTTAACGCACTCAACAGTTGTTTCCGACGCCATATCTTCAGTAGAAAGTTGTTCCGATGAAAACTGTTGACAGCTTGAGCTCTGTGTATCATCCAGTGTGTTCAACATGGTCCCTGGCTTTAGGAGATATGCTGCTGCTACATTTCCAAATGCAATTGTACAATTCTGTAAGCATGGGTAGTGCAGAAAAAAAAAGGGCAGAAATCTCAGAAGGATCCCAAAATCTGGAACATTTCACCTAAAATAGCTGCATGGCTTTTTACCATTTAAGAACATATTTTAGTCTTTTGGAATTTCGGTGAATTCATCCTATACCGGACTAAAACAATTGGCAGATGTGACTCCATGCAGTAATCATTGTATGCACCAATCCTCCAAATAGGAGAAATTGATTTATTGTAAAATGTATATTTTTTGTGGAGTGTTCAGAATTTCTTTTAACACCATTTCTCTTTGTAAAATCACCTGACGTTAGTGTTCTAAATGACGTGCTCCTAGTTTAGCATTTTATAATCCTTTGGTGAGCGTTAACACACACTGACTTGTATCACTTGCACGTCCGTACATGTGATGGTCAAAGGGTGAACCATCAAATAGTGGGAATTGTTTCGTGTGTGTTTTCTAACCCTCAATTCAAATGACTGATGTTATAGTACTGTATCATAATTTAACAGTCATCAAATCATCTCATGTGAAAAGAAATATGCTTAGTTTGTACATTTTAAACACAAAAACAGAGTCAAAATACAGAAACACTTTTGGAGAATACACCCATAATCTAGACATCCGTTCCCATAAGGATTTATGATGCCGGATTATTTACGTGCTCAACAGCTCCTAATTTGCTTTGTGAGAAATCCCTAAAATCACATCTCTGACAGGACTTTTTAATAACCTTTAAACCAAAAGAAGAAGTATCATTAAGTAAACTTTACATTACAGATTAAACAGAGGATTTCTACGACCCCACCTGTGTTTGATAAATCACGACGTGTTTCTAAATTGTCGCTGATCATTAGGTTTTCTTGTTTAGTGCGAGTCATGCAAAGCTATATTTGGGAGATGACGTCGAGGTTTAAACTGAGACCAAGGGGCTTCTAAGACGTGAGTAAGGGACATCTGGCTTCTAATCAATTACACATGTTATTTACTGCGATATAAATTATACTTCATATTTATTAATGCAGGCATGTTTGATAATCATCACATGGAGAGCAGCTTTTTTGCTGAGAAATATCAGAGAATGTTACGTTAGTGTGAAGACCCCATGTGGGCCTGGCCGAAATTCATGTGAATGACTTTTGCCTTAACACATATGACCAAAACACCATTTCAAGTTTAAGCAAACACCAATGATAATATTTGAACAGTTTACCTCATTTACTTGCTTAAAAATAAGTGTGATTCATGTCTTGGAAAAGAATTACCCTCTCATGAAAATGTTTATGATGTTGTTTGATTTCGGTTTTTTGCTGTTTTGTTTTGTGTGTTATTCCAAAGTATTGTTACACTGAAAAAACTGAGACGTTGACTTAAATCAAATGTATTATGTCATTATTCACATAACTGTATTAGGTGAAAGCAATTATGTTAAGATAAATACATATAAGGTTCAACTTATTATATTATGGCTTTCAACCAACCTAACACAGTTATGTGAAATATGTCGACATAATACACAGGTTTTTCGCTGCACGTTCATAAACGCTGGTTTGTACATATTCTGCAAAAAGCTTCAAATCTTTGTTTCACATCCTGCAGAAAGTGACTTCGATCTTATTCCTTGTACATTTTTATTGAATAACAGCCAAACCAGGATTTGATCATTTTACATAACTTACTCAACGCTTAGTGTCTGGCGTTCAGCTTAAGTGAAATCATTTTTGATCTGGTTTTGTGAAAGCAGTCACAGTTTTATTTGCTTTTGCTGTCATTGTTTTGGACATTTAGAATCATTTATACAATGAAGAGTGAATATCTCATGAGATCAGGTCTATCCAACCTTTATATTTATGCAAGCTGAACTGCTTTAATTCATTTTACCCTCATAAAATAGTATACATCTCTACTAAGTTTTAATCTGGACCTGACCCGATATGGGGAGTATTTAGATTACGTATAGTGTGACTCCTGAATCTTGTGTAGTTAAACGCATACGTTTTAAATCATTCAAACAATGCACCGTTTTACAGCTACCTTCATGACACACATTTCACCAATTTAATTAAAACATATTATGAAATTGATGTTAGTGGATAGTTTAAAAAACAGGGGTGTCAAACTCAAATGCACAGTGGGCCAAAATAAAAAGAAGTGTACTAGTCGAGGGCCGGACTGGTTCAATGTTTATTGCAAAACTTATTGAAATTAACTTATTGCACATATTAACTAACAAAGCTTAAATGATTACCAATAAAAACAACATTAAACATTAAATAATCAGTTGCATTAATTTCTTATGGCTCTATCTGCAGCTTTTCTGAGTCATTTCTATGATTACATTTTTCCACAGGCCAACAACAACTCTCTACCTCTCTCTACCTCCTGAAAAGAGAAAAACCAAACATGCCTGTTGTCTCAGAAAAGGCAAAGTGGGCAGAAAGGAAAACATCATGTAAACTCAGTGTGGCTGCTCTGTGATGCTAGGTCAGGAATACGTGGCATCCAGTCTCGGGTGCGAGTTGTCATCATGTTTGGGCTGCAGGGCCCCTGAGGCTGAGGATGACCTCAGGACTTAGCGAGTGAAAGGATGTGCGT